AGAAAAGCATTTTTGTAATTGTGTACATACAGTTCCTGGATTTGTCTTGGCAGCGTTTTATATTGCTATCTTAATAGGAATTTCTTCTCTCTCTTTCTGCGGGGCTTTGTCGGTAATATACAGAAATGCTGGTGATTACTGTGGGCTTATTTTATAACCTGCAACTTTGCTGAAGTTAATTATCCAACTAACCTTTCAGCTGGTTCCCTAGGACTCTCTAAGTATGCCATGCTGTCTACAAAGAGGAATAGTTTTGTTGCACTAAACATTTTTTTTCTGGTGAGGCAATTGGGGTTAAGCGACTTGCTTAGAGTTGTAGAGCTGGTGAGTGTTATGTGTCTGAGGCTGGATTTGAACTCAGGTCCTCCTGACTCCAGGGCTGGTGCTCGAGCCACTGCGCCACCTATCTGCCCCACTAAACATTTTTTGACAGTAAATTGACAAAGGCATCAATCTCTTTGTCCACCACAGCAGCAGTCCCGGAGACTGTCCAAAAGATAGCCCTCAGGCAGTGAAGCTTATGTACCCATTAGATCTCAAGGACTTGGTTTGAGACACTGGGTCCAAGAGGTCAAGGTTGAATGTCTTGGCGTCAGGGTGAGGTTTCTAGATGCCATGTAGAGAACAAGTTATGGAACAATTTGGACTCTGGCAGGGTGAGACAAGGTTTATCTTCTTTTGCGGGAGAACTATTTTTTTAAAAAATCTGTTCATTTAGATAGTGGTCTGTGAGCATCCTTGCAACCACTTAACCTGTTGTCAGTCCAATGAGCTGGGCTCCAATCTGGCTCTGTCACTTCCTAGTTGCCTGACTTTGGGCAAATCATTTTCTCTCCTTCCTTCCTGTCACTTAGACTTCTTCCTCCACTATCTCCTCCTTTGCTCTGGTCTCCGCTGGATGAGTGGCCCTTCTCTTCACCACGGTGGTTTCTCTACATGCCCCTATGATCCTATTTTCTCCAGCAGACTGCCCTGTTTATCAACTTTCTCATTGCCAGTCACTCCCTATGAATACGTCCCAGTCTTTTAAGAACTTCTCTCCGATCCCACCATCCCACTGGCTCTCACACTCTCTCACTTGTTCAGCAAAACTCCTTCAAAAATTACCTCTATTTGGTGCCTCCATTTCATCTCCTCTCTCTTCTAAATCCTCTGCAACCTGACTTCTTTATTCAACTGAAACAGCTCCTTCAGTTACTATCTCCATGCAGCTGCTTCTGAGATCCAGTTACGCCTCACTTTTGGACATCTTGAACTGGGTGTTCTATAGGTACCCGAGACTTCCCCCCAATCCTGATTGTTAAGGGTCCCTCACCCAGCCTCCCAACTTTGAAGGTATCTTCAGCTCTTCCCTCAAACCCACCCCGTACATCCAGTCTCTTGCCTTACTTCATTTCTGCCTTCCAAATACTTATTCATACTGCTACCACCCTGGTGCAGTATGACCAACCCTGCTCCAGCCCAGCTGCCAAAGTAATTCTTCAAAAAGGGAGGTCTATTTTATCCTCCTCTTCAATTAACTCCAGGTCCCTTCCCCGCCCCACCCCCCCATCTCCAGGATCAAATGTAAAGTCCTCCCTTTGGCATTTAATGATCTTTACTTCCTGGCCCTTTCTGGTCTTCTATTCTATATAGTCAACAAACATTTCTGAAGTGTTTACTGTGTACCTGGCCCTGTGCTAAGCACTAGGGACAGAGAGAGGGCAAAAACAGTCCCAACTGTCCCTGGCCCCAAGGAGATCACGTTCAAATGCAAGAGACGTGTAAATAACTGAAAGGCATAGACAATCTAAATGGAAGGTGGTGGCACTAACACTAGGTGGGAAGGTGAGAGGGCTGGGGCCCAGGCAAAGGCCTCTAGCAGAAGGAGGTCTTAGCTGAGTCTCTAAGAAAGGAGACCAGAGCTGGACTTGACAGACCGGAGGCTTTGGTCATTGTTCTGACCAGTGAAAAGGCCAGCAACCAGCTGTGCGCAGCTGCACTTCTGGGAAATGAGGCTCCTGCCTGAGAACTGGTACAGAGTTTCTTTTATGGTTATAGATCGGGCAGGTGTGGACATAAGGCAAAGGTACAAACAGACCGTGGCTAGCAGCCAGCAGCATTCAGGACAAAGAGCAGGAGGAGGCCGGGCAGGGAGCACAGCTGCGCCTCTGGCTGCAGCCCACGACTCGGCTCCAGGTGATCCACGAAAATACTACCTGGAGTTGGGAAAGACTTGAAAGGAAAAACTTGTGGTCCCTGAATTTTTATATTCACTAGTGAGCAGTGACCGGCTTTGTATCATCTGCACACACACCCCCTTCCCTTGTGACAGCAGAAAGACATTCGATACCACCGTCAGCCTGTCCACAGGCAGGTGCTCAGGGGCTCTCTGTCCAGTCTGCGTGCTCACTTTCTGCCACAGTGCCCGGCACAGGGCTACTCAATGGCTGAGCCTTTAATAAACCAGACTGGGAGACAGAGGTTGACCCGTACGCTCAGGGAAGGGGCAGAGCCAGCACTCAGACTCTGGACTCAGACACTCAGGCAGCACAGGCACTTAGCGAGCACCTACCACGTGCCAAGCAACATGCTAAGGGCTTTGTGATGGATCTCATTCAGTCCCCATAACTCTGTGAGGAAGCTGCTGTTATTATCCCCACTTTACAGCTGAAGCAGACGATGGTTAAGTGACTTGTCCAGGGTCACGCAGCTAGTATCTGAGGCTGGATTTGAACTCAGGTTTTCCTGACTCCAGGCTCAGCACTCTCTCCACTGTACCACTGGCTACCTGTCAGCCCCTAGGGAACATGACTCCAAGCCCGAAGGAGGCATCTTTCTACTCTTTCCTGAACTGTTACGACTCTAGTTCAGGGAATCTTTGATAAATAGGTTTTTATTGATATCTTCTGTTTTTTACATAGCATCCCCTGTGCTTCTTCCCTTTCCTTTTCCAGGGAGCCATCCCATCTGACAAAGAGCATTTTTTACCTACCCCTCACTGCCAGTCTTTGATTCGCTCTTGGCCTATCACTCTCCTCTAGTGGCCCCTCTGCACCTCCTCCCACCCCCATTTCATGCACTCTTGTGGTGTAATGTAGCTCCACAAAAACAACGGCAAAGTGCTGCCAGGTCCTGTCTGCGATGCCCTGTCTGCCTCCTCATTGCTAGCTCTCTCAGACGATAGCCTTTGCCCGTCTTCTCCATGTCTCTGCTGCCCTTCCGTTGCTCTGGCCGTCCTGGGCTGCTGCCTTTCTGCACTTCTGTTGTGTGGGTGTGTTTGAGAAGCAAATCATCTCCAGCTGGCCTTCTTTCTAAAAGCATTTCAAATGCCTCATTATTATTGAATGACCTTCTTTCTCAGATTTGCTCTGTAGGTTACAGCATCCTGAGCTCCAGTGCTCTTGAGAATATGTGATGCCATTCCCTCTTACACTGTCTGGTAGAATGCAGAATTTCTTGTATCACTTGAATCTCCTTTTCTTTGTATGCAATAGTCTTTTTTTTGGGGGGGGGGAGGCAATTGAAGTTAAGTGACCTGCCCAGGGTCACACAGGTAGTAAATGTGAAGTGTCTGAAGCTGAATTTGAACTCTGGTCCCCCTGACTCCAGAGCTGGTGCGCCACCTAGTGGCCCCTTGAAACTTTCTCTTGATCTTTTGCAGGACTTGTTTCTGAATTGCACTGGTCAATTCAAGCACAATGGCCTTGGAGTTTGCAGGACCAGGTTGTTTTTCTGGAGGTGGCCTATGAATTCGTTCATGTTTCATTTTCTATGTTCAGAAGCTTTAGGCAGCCTTATTACTTCCTCCTGCACTGTGGCACTCAGGCTTTCTGTGCTGTCCTGTCCTTTCAGGGGTCTTACGGTACTCAGGTTGTCTCTACACTTTCTGCCCTCGAGGTCAGACTGTTTCTCTCTCACAGTAAGCATTTTCTTTTACTTCTCTTCTTCTTGACCAATCCTCCACATCTGGGGATTTGCATCCTGAGACACTGATCTCTTTCGTTTCCCTGGTGAGACGGAACGTGGCAGATCTGTTTTTCCATTCCACCCGTTATTTCTGGATGTAGGCCCAAAGTTCTCTCACTGATCTTTCTCTTTTGAACTGCTCCAGAATGGTGCGCTGCTCCCTGTTCTCACATTCCACTAGTCCTCTCATCTAGGGTTGGAGGATTTCCCCTTTTCTTGCACTATTTGTCCACAGATACCCGCACTTGTTTACTAGAACTCATGGTCATGTTTTCTTTGGAGCTTTAGCTGCCTGTGTTTAAGGTCTTAAGTTTTCTTCTTCCTGAGATCTTTGGCAACCTGTCACCTCCACTCCCACTTCACTTCCCTTCTGATGGTGGTTTCCTTCCAGGCTGGACCTCAAAGCACTTCAGCTACCTCCCTTGATGAGCAATTCATGGTTCCCCAGCCTCGGGCTCTGCCCCAAGCGGCAGCTGTGCTCTTTCCCTCAGCTTAGGGGAGTGTCACACCCCGCCCTGCCCCTCTCGTTTCTTAGCTCTCTGGCCCATCTCTGACAGTTCAGCGTCGGTGCTCTGGGGTCGTGGTCTCTATGGCACTGGAAAGAGGGAGGGTGGATCTGGTGTCAGGACGGGTACTGAAAGCCTGTGCTGGATCCTGGGGTCTGCTAGTGAAGCCTCTCTGCTGGTAGCGTGGGAGGTTGGGGAGGGGTGCCGAGTGAAGAGTCAGTGAACATCAGTTCATTTTTTTAAAACTTCTTTTAGATTCTGGGTCGTCTGAGACCACGGACACAGCTGAAGCTGTTTTATTTGTGGTGCATAATTTCTTTTTTGGAGAAGTCTGAGACGTGGACATCAGAGAAAAATGTCTTGTTGCTCATATGACCCTGAAGTCCCTGTACAAGTCAGGGATCTCTATTTCTAATTGGGCTGGACCATTTCTTGGTTATGTCAAATTACTTTCATATGAAAAGGTTTTATTATACAGAATCAATCCAGAGAACAATTATAACGTCATGCACAAATAACTTAATATTAGGAAGACATCAAACTAGTCCTCATTAAAAAAAAAAACAACCCACAGTTTATTTTCATATTTAGGTAAATTTCAGCCAAACAATCATGACAAACTTGGAGCAATCTCTACAGTGTTTATGCGAAGGATGGTCTGTGGTCTTATAAAAACTGAAAAAGACAGAAAACAGGATTTCAGGGTTTAATCCTCAATTATCCTTATTACTAAAATCAGCTATTCTAGGACAACAGGAGAGTTCTGTTGGACAGCCCCAGAAACAATGATTCCAGACCTTTTTCATTAAAAATGGATGGTTCAGTACTTTTCATGGGGGCTGGAGGTGGCCCTAACATGGCACAATGAGCATGACACCTCGGGGCCTGATCGCTGTGGGCTGCTGTCAATGACACGCACCACTCTGCATAACTTTAAGCAAAGCTGGCCTGAAATAAGCTCAATTACTGGACAAATCCCAGCACAATAGAACAAATGGTCCCTCCAAGGGTGTGGCACAAGGCTGGGCAGCGTGTGACAGGCTGCCCGGCTACTGCCCTGCCGTAGGTCACGTGCTCAAGGACAGCCCAGAACAAAGAGGCCTGTGCTTCAGTACAGCCATGCGTCCTTTTTTCATGAAGGGCCATAATTTCACACATACCATTTGAGGGGTCCTAAACCAAGCCTCCTCTGTATTTGTCTCCAATGAATGGATCCTTGCCTCAGATTCTCTGGTGACGGTGCCTCCAATGGGGCCCAGGCCATGCACCCACTGGGCAGGTCAACCTCCGACACCACTCGACCATAATCACTTCTCATTACTTTGGGTAGGGGTGAATTTAAGCACTGAGGACTCAGAAGGCACGTGAGGCCGAAGGTCCAACCACTGAGAAACAGAGTACTGCAGGGGCCCAACCCACCTCTGCCTGAGGGATGTTGCCCCACCTTGACTAGGACTTGGCAGAGTAAATGACCTTGATGGGTCAGGTTACCCAGGGTGCACCAGCTCAGGAATGTGCCAGGGACCTCCCTCCTGATCTTGGGGGATGGGAGAGGTGAAGGCTAGAATTGCAGCCTTTCCTGAAGGCTCAAGGTTATGGCTGGGGGGCTCTCTCCTCTCTGTATCCCTTATGGATGTTACAGCCTCTTCTCTCAGGGGGGCAGCTGTGGTGTACTAGAAAGAGTACTGGACTTGGAACCAGGACACCTGCGTTTAAAACCAGACTCCAACCCTTTCTGGCTCAAGAAAAGGCTCAGTTCCCTCATCTGTAAAGTGGGAACAATCCTTGTGCAGAACCCACCAGCAGGCGTGAAAAATTCATTGGCAAGTTTCATTTTTTCCAACTTACTTTTCTTTTTTCTGAAATTTTTCCTTTTCTTAAACTTCATATAGACTCTTGGCCACGACTCAGTCTTTTCAATAACTGTGGCTTCTACGCGGACAAGATCCAGTCTACGACACAAGCAAACTGCATTTATCTTTCAGGACTCTTCTAAATTCAGTAATAACCGCCACACCAATGATGATGAAAGCTAGCATCAGCCCATGTCTGCAAGGTTCTCGACAAAGACGACCTCACTGGATCCTCCTCATAACCCCATGAGGCCCACACCCACCTGACAGGGAGCCTCATCGGGGCTGTATGCAGCCCGCCCAAACTTGGGGCCTGGGCAGTCTGTCTACACAGGTGTACACAGAGTCAGCATGGCAAGGAGTGCAAATCCTGGCTCTATCTGACCTTGGGCAGGTCCCTCTGGTTCTCTGGGCCTCGGTTTTCCCACATCTAAAATGACGGGCCTGAGGGCTCTTCCAGGGGTACTGAAGAACCACTGTGTGCATGTGCGGACGAGGACAAACGTGCAACCTTCCCCTCTGGCTCCACAAAGAGCAGCTTACCCAAGGAGCGGCTTTCCAATCAACGTGAAGTCATCAGCCCCGACCAGCAGGACCTGGAAAAGGTTGATGGAAAACTCTCAGTCATCCACTCCCCAGCGACGGGGAGCGGCGACATCGCAAACCTGGCGGCGGCACTCCGTCTCATGCAGATCCTCGAGTACCTGCTCTTCAGCTCGCTGCTCGATCTGTCCGCCAGCAGTAAAAACGCCCTTTCTAGTTGACGCTTTGCTGGCGCAGAAGCCAGAGGCGGCGGTCTCTTTGGCTAGCGGCAGAGAAGCAGGGACGTCCCGGGGACCCCGTGGGGGAGGGGCTCAATGCACGTCTCAGTCAAGGCACTTAGGAGTGAGGTCCCACTTTTTAAAAGGAACTTCTTTTCCTTTTAATAATCGAATCAAGCCAAAATCCATTCTGGCAATTTGTGCCTTCAATGCAAAGGTGGGGAAAGTGAGGATGGGGAGAAAGAGGACAAAAGGTGGTTCAACAAGAAGAAAAGACTCCCCCAAACCCACAGACTCAAAGAAGCCTCCTCCTGCGACGGCATGGGTGCCTTCTTTAGCTTGTTCTGTTTTTGGTGAGGCAGTTGGGGTTAACTTGACTTGCCCAAGATCACACAGCTAGTAAGTGTCAAGCATCTGAGGCCGGATTTGAACTCAGGTCCTCCTGGCCACCAGGCCGGTGCTCTATCCACTGTGCCACCCAGCTGCCCCTAGGCACCTTCTTTAGCAAAGACCTGGGATGGGAGGTGCTGAATGTGACAAGCACCAAGGAATACAACGATAAAGGAGAGAAGAGTGTGTGCGTGTGGGTGCGCTCTGGTAGCACGGGGTCAAGAATGAGCAGGGTTTCATCAAATCAGCAAGCATTTATTAGGCACCCACGATGTGTCAGACACTGTGCTAAGCCCAGGCAGAAACATCCCCTGCCCTCAAGGAGCTCCCAGTTGAATGGGGGAAGCGACCTGCACATGAGCATACATCCACAGGAGATTGTGGCAGAGGGAAGGCGCTAGCCTTCACGGCGGAGCAGAGACAGAACGCCGGGCCTGTCATCCACTCACAGCTCCACCAATGCGCGAGTGTGCCCGTTTTCCCAAAGCCCTCCCAACAACTGCCATCACCCTTTTTAATCACCTTTGCTAATCTGGTAGGGGTGAGGCTGACTCCCAAGGTCGCTTTAATTGCCAGTCGACAGCGATGTGTGGCATGTTTTAATATGGAGGTTGACTGCTTGGGATTCCTTTGAGAACTGCCTCCTCCTGTCCTCGGACCATTTACCCAACTGGGAAACAACTATCATTCTTACGGATTTGAATCACTATCTTGGTAATGAGACTTTCACCAGAGACACCTGCCGCACAGACCCAGCCCCCCTCCAGTTAACGGTTTCCTTTCTAATTTTAACGACAACACTTTCACTTGGGCACAGCCTTGTCACTTTCCTGTCACCAGAACTGCCTGTCTCGCCTCACAGCCACAGAACTGCTCCGCTCTAAACCTCCCTTCTGCCAGACTTCCCGGAATCTCGGGTCCTCGCTCCACCAGCTGGAAATCTCGGGGCTTATCAGACATTTTGCTGCTACATTTGTTACTTGGGCCGGCGCGTGCTGCGACTGTCCCCTGGTTTTCAGCCAGAGAGTCTCAGAGATCCCCACTTTACAGCACAGGTGACATCTGTAATAGCTAGGCTACTTTCCTTCCCACTTTTTTCATCATTCCCCTTGAGAACCATGTCTGTCCTTCTGTTCTTCTAGATGAATTTTGTTATTATTTTTGAATTATTTTAGTATGACACTAAAATAAATTAATTTGGGCAGTATCATCACTTTTATTATATTGGCATGTCCCATGAAGAGCAATGAATGCCTCGCCAATTCTTTAGGTCCGTCTTTATTTCTAGGAAGAGCATTACATAGTTTTTGTGTATGTTTAGGTAGGTAGACTCCCAAAATTTCTTATGCCTTCTGTTTTTAAGTAGAATTTTTCTTTCTAGACCTTGATGTGGGATTTTGTTGGTAAAATGTAGAAAGGTGAATGTTCTGTGTGGGCTTATTTTATATTTTGCTACTGTGTTAAAGTTTTTCTTTTTTTTCTTGCTTTCTGGTGAGGCAATCAGGGTTAAGTGACTTGCTCAGGGTCACACAGCTAGTAAGTGTCAAGTATCCGAGGCTAGATTTGAACTCAGGTCTTCCTGACTCCAGGGCTGGAGCCCTATCCACTTTGCCACCCAGCTGCCCCTGAAGTTATTCTTTCAATTAATTTTTAGTTGACTCGGGTTTTGTTTGAAATAGAAACATTTCAAATAGAAACTCGTCTGTGGAAATCCTATGAAGAATGATTGTGAGCAGCATTATCCAATAAAGCAGAGAGAAGGAATGTAGGGTTGACAAGATGCCGGCTAAACCAGATCATCCCAAGGGCATAGAAGGACGAAAATGGGGGGAGATTGCAAAAAAGAGAAATGGAAAAGATTCACAAAAAACATTTTAAGGTTTAAATTGTAAAAAGGCTCTTTAGAGCAAAGTCTCTCTCGTCCACACATCAGAGGTAAGGAAGGAAACAACCCTCTTTGACGTTCCTCTCACTGATGGTAAGACATCAGGTGAGGCTCGCCAAAAGCCATCCTCGAGAAGGTGACCCAGGAGACCAGTACAGAGTGGAAACCACACTGGCTGACAGAGAATGAGCACAAAAATGGGGTGTGGCCCTCTAATCAGGAATGCTCAGACTCAGGAGCTGAAGCTGGTCAAGGAAGGAAGCCAAGGACAACTAGGAGGGCCTTCTCCAAGTCAGCTTGGGAAAACTGGGGGACTTAAGAAGGAAGGCACTGTGAGCCACAGATGGATGGCAAGATCAGGCCCACGGAGAGAAGGCAGGGCTGCTGAATTCCAATTTTCCTTGTTTTTTCTGCCAAGGACGGAACAAAAATGACTCACTGGAGGCCAACACCCCAGGTGGGCAGGGAAAGAGGACGAGAGCCCCTCCCATCCCCGGCCCAGACAAGATGCCTGAACCACAGCCAGTGACCTCCGGAAGAAGAGGTAAAGGGCACATGGGGGCCCTCCTTCCAGAAAGGGGAGACAAGAGTCTACAACCAAGAGGGCGGCAAGCCTGGCCCGGGCTCCTGGGAAAATGCTGGGATGCCCATGGCGAGGACAAAGGCCTGCCGTGCCGCTGGTCAGCAAGGGCCACAGTGGGCTCTGCTCTGCAAAGGGGAGGCGTTTAACTCAGGAAGACTTGGGCAGGCCCCAGGATTGTCTGCTAGCATCTGACGGGCTTGTATAGGGGAGAACCCCAGAGGCTTGGGAAGAGGCACACAGAGCATGGGGGGAGACACGCAGATCAGGGCCCTGCGCTCACCAACAAGGCCCCTCCTGCTCCGGCCCAGCTGACCCTGCAGTGAGACAGGTTTGGAGCCAGCCCCCTTCACGGCTTAGGGAGGCCTCTCATGGAGCACCCCGGGGGTCTGCGGATGGCCCTATAAAGGTGCACCTTGCTGCCGGGGCAGCGGCACGGAGTCTGGCTGGGCTGGAAGGAGCAGCACACTGTGGGCATGGAAGGACCTGCCGGGCCAAATCCAAGAAGATAACACTGGAAAGGCTGAACGCGCATCTCTAGTCACCAAACGCTTACAAAGGGGAAAGCCTGACCTGCCGGGAAGGTCATGCTCTGCTCTGGGCTCCCTGCTTCAACAAGGTTTTTAATAAGACAGTTACTGTGCCTGAGGAAGGATAAGCAGGATGGTGAAGGGCCACAGGGCCACGCCACAGGAGGACATACTGAAGGACCGGGGGACGTTAAGCTCAGAGGAGACGCTGTGTGACTGGATGCCCGCATCCGAAGGGTATTTGTAGGGGAGATGCCCCAGGGAGACACAGCCTGCACCAGCTCCCACAAGCTCTGCAGCCGCAGTCACGGACAGCGAGGCAGGAAAGCTCTCCCCCAGAGTCCTGGGCCCGAGAGGGGGAGGCAGGACTTAGCGATGCCCCAAAGTGCAACGGGCTGCTGCCACAGGTAGTGAGCTCCCCGTCTTTCCAGGTCTCAGCCTCTGCACCTCCTTCTGTAGCTGAAGCAGCCTGGCTCCAGTACGAGGGGCCCAGCGGCCGAGAGATGCCATGAGGCATGGAGGGGATGGAGAAGGGGAGCCTCTGGAACAGACAGGCTCTGTAAAGCCTGGGGTAAAGCCAGGTTCTCCTGGCCTAGGTTGCCAGTCCCTGCACTCACCTTCTCCATTCGAATCCTTTCTCCGCATCTGGCCTCCAAGGTGTTCTCAATCAGAATCAGGTCCCCGTCGGTCACCTTCCACTGCCGGCTGGCAAAGTGGACCACCGCGAAGAGCCGGCCGTGCTGTCTGGTGGCGATCAGTTCGTTCACCCTCTGGAGAACCTCTGAAAATTAATGAACAGAGGTGTGGAGCCCCAGTCGGGCCTCAGGGAGCAGATGCCGTGGCGCGCCCCTGGGAAGTGCGGCGTTGAAGTTAAAGCTTCTAACAGTGATAGTGACAATGACAACGCTAAGAAGGCCAGCGTTTTACAAACACGATCTTGTTATAACCTCACAACCTCCTTGGGAGGCAGATGCCGTGAGGATCCTCATTTTATAGATGAAGAAACTGAGGCTGGCTAAGTCCGAGTGACTTGCCTAGGGTCCCACAGTTAGTATCTCTCTATGGCTGGATTTGAACTCGGGTCTTCCCAACCCCAGGTCTGGTGTTCTGGTGGGCACTGTGCCATGTGGAGACCCTTCTTTCTGAAAATGAAGACAAGGCCTAGGTGCTGGTCTCCGATCATTCACAGCAATCCCTCTAATACCTCAGCCCATGCACATGGGCTCTGCGGCCCCTCCCGTACTTCTGTTGCACCACCATCACAGGCCACCAGGAGGCGCCAGCACGAACCCAGCGTTGGGCCCGCTGGGGGACTCCAGGCAAGTCACTTCACCACTGCTGCCTCAGTTTCTTCAACTGCAAAATGGTAACCTTCCTCGCTGGGTTGTTGTATATGAGATGTCTGTCACAGTGCTTACTTAGCACAATGCCTGGCACACACGGGCCACTTACTACTCCCCCTCCCATTATTTTCTTTTTTTTCCTTTTAAGGTGAGGCATTTGGGGTTAAGTGACTTGCCCAGAGTCACACTGCTAGTGAGTATCATGTGTCTGAGGCTGGATCTGAACTCAGGTCCTCGCTGGTGCTCCCTGCACTGTGCCCACCTGCCCCTCATCCTCATCATTTTAATGGAAACTTGAGCAACTGTCAGCAGGGAGAAAACAGCATGTCCATTAAACGAACCCCAGCCACGAATCAAGCTGGGAGGTCATTGTAGAGACTCTGAACTGCGGACGAAAGCCCAGATTTTGCCGGAATCTCTTCATGATTCTCAAGAAACCTGCAACTGCGGATTCAGGTCTTTCAGGACTAAACGCAGCCATTCCGGAGCCGGTGTCGCCCCCAAGGGGCGCCTCTGACTCCAGCAGCCCCTCTTCCTCTTGCCTGGGGGTGGCAAGCACAGGGCTGAGCCCCAGGGGGCAAGACCTAGGACCCAAGACGGGTCCCTAGGGAGCCTCGGGTAAGTCACTGGCTTTCCGAACGCCTCACCGGCCTCATCTCTGAAAGGAGGGCATGGGATTAGACCACAGCTTCCAAAGGATTGCAGAGGAAACCAAAAATTAGTGAGAATAAAGAGGTAGATCCTCAAAACCCTATTCACCAGCTACATTCTTGCCTGGAAGTTTCTCCTTCCTTACCTTCGCCTCTTGGCTTCTGCCACATTCCTAAGAAAATCCTGCCTTCTGTAAGAAGCCTTTCCTGACCCCCAGCAGTGCTGGCACCTTCCCGCCATGGGGGATTTCCGATTCTGATCCCATCTATGACTCATCTGTACACAGCTGCCTGCAGGTGTCTCCCACATTAGACTGGGAGCTCCCAGAGGGCAGGGATTGGCTTTTGCCTTTCTTTGCATCTCCAGCACTGTGCCTGGCACATAGCAGGTGCTTAAATGTTTGCTGACTTGACTGAAAACTATCATGAAGCCTGGACTCGACCTTCACACCCCCTGAATCAGATGATCCATCTCTACTCTGCATGTTTCTGAGTCTTTTGCTTCTCAATTTCTAGTGAGAAATTTGATTATTAAGAATGTCCATGTAAATTTTTTTTTACACACTGAGAATGGTCTGGCTTTCCTGTGGACATGGGTGGATCATTCATGATATGTAGACTGCAACGAAAACGTGACCAGCGTCATTTGTATTTTCTGAAGGAAATGAGCAAAGCTTAGGTGAGTCTGGACGCTGCTCTGACTGGAAATCAGAAAGCCTCATGTAGGAGGGAAGGAGTCTGCCTGATAACGGAGACATTTACCTTGGTGATGCCTGGTCTCTTGCTTGGGATCTGGCAGTACGACTTTAGGCCATGGCGGTGAAGTCAATGACATCTTAGGGAGGACCCTGTGGAAGACATTTGCTGTGAGGTTGACGTAGGTTCCTGCCTTGAGAAACTAAGCATGTACAAAAGCAGACAATTTTTTAGAGACTGAATGTGAATTAAAGGCCACCCTGGGCTATGCTGCCCAAAGCCAAAGCAAGCTGCGAATCTGAACTCATTAGAAATGTGACAACATCTGTGACGGGGTGTGAGGAGTGGGGGGTGGGGACAAACAGGAAGAGAAGGGGAGGGGGAGAGAGGGAAGGGGAAAGGGGGAAAAGAACCCAAGGGCTGGGAGGGTACATGAATTCTACAGACATTCCTCTACATGTTCTTCTCTTGCTCTCATGCAGAGGCATCACCCTGGGCCCTGCATCACTCCTGTGTGACTTGAGCCATATTATTTAACCAAATAAAATGCAATAAAACAGAAAATACCACATCCTAAAATAAAGCCAATGTGTAGCAGGGACCCTTCGGCACGGGTTAGTGGCCCCTGGTGCTACCACACCAGCAGGACTCCTCCATCCATGGATGCTCCTACCCATCTGCTTACCTAGAAATAAGTGTTTCTTATTTCCTAAGGGGAGCACGAGGTGAGGGGGTGACCTTTACGTCCCCAGCATCCCCACTGGCATAGCTTCAGCTGGACCTCAGCACGATGGGGAGGAGTAAATGGAGTCTATTTCCACAGCGGCTAAGGGCTAAAGCTGCTAGAAGCTTGGGGGGCACAGAAGGCCGGGACCTCAGGTCAAGGATATGACGACCCACCTGGTAGCTTTAGGAACCACAGGACTGTTCTGACATCACACCTCCCCAATTCAATAAATCTTGTGGCTCCCCATGGCTACGCAAATCAAGCAGAACTATTCCCAGCTGGACCCCATGGGATCTGTGCAGCCTGACTCCACGGGCATCCCCTTTGTGCTCCCTGGGGTCTGGCTGGCTCCTCCTCTCTGAGGAGCAGTCCCCATTTCTGCCCCAAAGATCACCCCCCTCCTCATGTCCACCTTTGAATCTCTGGTGTCCTTCACGTCTGTGTTCATCATTCTACACTGAGGGTGTGTGTGTGTGAACTTAGGACAGATAAATGTCTTTTAGAAAATATTCAGATACTATTTCAACATAACTGGTTTCCTCTGCATTTTGTTGGATGCATTAAAAAACCTGATTCTTCCACCACTAGCTGTGTGACCCTGGGCAAGTCACTTAACCCCACTGCCTTAAAAGAAAACAAAAAACAAACGCACAAGAAAAACCTGATTCTCCACCAAAGAGACAGCAGAGAGAAGGTAAGCGTCTTATGCTGTCCCACTTTATCTTCTCTCTAACCTGACATGCACATGTTACTTCCCTCAGGACAGTGGGATTGGCTCTCCTCCTGCCAGACGGAGCATGCCTCTGACCGTGGCGGCTCGAGGCTCTGTCCCGGACCCTCCTCTCCCCCCACATCACATCGCTTGGAGCTCATCAGCCACCCTGACTAATGACCATCTCTCCTCAGATGATTCTTGAGTCTCTTTATCCAGACCTAACCTCCTCTCGACTCCCGGTCTCGCATTACTGCCCACTGGACACCTTGACCTGCATGCCCTATCAACATCTGAAACTCAACTTCTCTGAATACAGAGGAGAGGACCAAACCAAGGAAATTCCCACAATCAGGAGGGACTCGTTTGTTTTCTCGGCTTCTCAAGCAGTCAATGCAGCATTACCCCTTCACAGGAGCTGTTGGTCCCAAGGATGGTGGCATCTTTACGGGCTCAGAGCCAGAGCTAGAAATACAACGTGTCCCCACCCAGGCAGAACTCACTACTCTCTTTCTTTCCATGGTTTTTTCTGTATTTTCCTCCAGATGGCTAAGGAGACAGAGCACCAGATGAATGTCTAGGGAAAAATCAGGTAATTCTGCGCACCTGAAGACACGCACATGCTTTTACAAATAGTCCCTGAAGACAGATCAACAGAACCCCAGACTCTCTACATTACCTTTCCTGAGCAGAAGTGCTCTGAGAACTGTGACTTTGAAAAGCAGGCCAAAGATGAACTAAAAGGAAAAAAACAGAATTACTGGTTAGAAAAGACAATCCCACAACACTGACAGGCTCACAGGGCTAGGAGCAGGAAGGAAGGCAATGGCTGGGATGGGGGGTGAAGGGTCGGCTCTGACTTGGCCACGGTGCCCTGGCAGAAGGACCGCAGCTGGGATCAGAACCCACTCGTCCAGCTCGGCTCCTAGACTTGCACGTGGTAAGAATCTGACCAACATCGGTGGAGGTGAGCGCTGCGGCCCAGGCCTCTCAGCTCTCTGAACTCCCCTGCCACCGCTGGTGGGTCTTACCAAGCCTTCCACTGCTCGTCTCTAGCTCGTCTAGGGAAGATTTTGCTAATACTTGCTCCCAGGACCTTCCCGTCCATCATTTTAAAACACATAAAAATTCACGTCTTTGTTTTTTAAATACTGTCACTGTTCTCCAATGAAAAGCCTTCGGAGAGTCAGGGCCAGGCCCTGGCCAAACTCATGTCTGAAGGTGGAGGCAGCCACCGGCTCAAAGGCACACAGGGGCTCTCTGCTGCTGCAGAACGACTGAGAAACCACAAATACATACTGTCGTCTGGGCTTTTATTCACCTTGCTGAACATTTCCCAACGACACTTTATCTAGTTCCTGCACCCGGTGAGCTGGCAGTGAGTCTCACACCTCTGCCACGTGGCGCACACAGGCGGTGCCAAATGGTTAAGCATTTATTATTGCCGCTAACACTTGTTTTCTCTCCAAACAGTAGGTTCCAAGAGGGCATAGTCTATGTCTATAAATTAATACACCACTGATTAAGCCCCTACAATGCGCTGGGAAGACAGACAAAAACCAAATATCCCCTGACTTTGAGGAGCTTAAAACCCCCAGATTTTTATTGTTTTTTTTTTTTTAAACTCTGAACCTTCCTCATTCCCCCCTTTCCATTCCTCAGGACAAACAACTTTTCTTTTTAATATCAAGAAGAAAAGAAGAAGAAATTTCAGCACAACTGATCACACCCCCAACTGAATCTGATGTGAGGTGCGGGGGTCCACGCCTACGCCCCGACCTTTGCCCAAGCCTCTGGGGCGATCTCACCCACAGGTTTCCTTTCCTTGCTTGTCTAAGAGACCTCTGGCCCAGGGGTCGGCCCATCCTCACTCTCACCTTCGCTCCATTTGCTGGGACCCTCCCATAACATGTGGGACGGGGGTGGAATGGCTGATTGCATTCCTGGAATGGAGCCTCCCAAGTGAGGAAGAGAACACCAAGGACCACAGTCTGGGCCAGGGGTGGGGAGCCTGCGGCCTCAAGGCCACACGTGGCTCTACAGGTCCTCATGTGCGGCCCCAGAACAAATCCCCTTTGTTACAGGATTTGTCTGCACAACCTGGACTCAGTCAAAAGGCCTCAGGTTCCCCACCCCTGGGCCGCCACCCACCGGCGCGGGCGGCTCACTCCGGTCTCAGGACACTGCGCCGGTGGAGCCTCAGGCGCCTTTGGGCTCTACTTCCTTGGAGACCTCCCGGAAAAGGTGCTTTGCTGCTTTCCATGCCAAACGGCAGGTGAAGCTCTGGGGGCCGGGGGCCACGCTCTCTGGAAAGGAAGAGGCCAAGGACCAGGCCTGACGGGGAAGCCTGGGGGGACGGGACATCTGCAGGGTGCAGGGCAAAGAGGCTGCACTGGGAGTCCCAGGCCCCGAGTTCGAATCCTGCCTGTCCTATCTGCTGGCTGGCCCCCCTTTCCTGCTCGTTAGGATGAGTCAGACTCCCGCCAGCTCTACCCCCAGGACCAGGAATCCGAAGACGGGAGGGAGCGGTGACCCCCTCGTCCACTCCGTGAGCCGGCCGGGACCTTGGCTCCCCTCGGCCTGAAGCAAACAGTCTGCTCCTTCTGTCTCTGCAGTGGCCCCGTCCCTCCCTCTCCCTGTACTGGCCCCCGATGCTTCTCCCACCGCCGGTCCTTTGCGCACGGCCAGGGATGCTCCGCCCCCCCCCACCCCCGACGCTCCCGAGTTACCGCAGAGGCAGGGACCCCGGGTCTCGGCAGCTGGCCTGGCATACAGCAGGCGCCTCATAAAAACCTGAGGAACCCACCCCGACCCTGTCAGTAGCAGCGAAGGAACCTCGGGTTTAGGAGGCCTTGGAAAAGAGGGGTGGGGGCGGGGAGTCAGTGACTGTGCACGGATTGAGCCCCTACTGTGTGAAGGGCACTGTCCCCGCGCCTCAGTTTCCCTGTCTGGAGGACTGGGGCTCAATCAGCGCTTGTCAATCGACCGTCGACACAGAGGGAAACTGAGGCAAGCCGCGACACGAGAGGGGGCGCCCAAGGTCAACGGGTCAGGGGTTGGAGCCGGGACGCTGATGTCCTCGGTGGACTGAAGAGGAAACTGAGGCAGGCAGGGCTTGGCGGAGGACTCCAAGTTTTTCTCACCCGTTCCTGGGTTCGCCCCTAGTCCCGCCGCTGCCCCGGGGGATGCCGGGAAGCGGAGGCCGCCGGCAGCGGGGAAGAGGCGCCTCCGAACCAGGGCCCCCACAGCGGCCCGAGCCGCCGCCGCCGCCGCTGCCATACCGCTCCCGCTTCCGCTTCCGCTTCCGCTCCCGCCGGCCGCCCCAGAAGCGGAAGCCGAAGCAGCGCGGCGTTGTAGTGGGAGGGACTTCCTGGCGGACCACTTCCGGTGCAGGGCGGGCCTTCCGGCGCAGCGGCCGGAGCCGGCGTCATGGCGGCCGTGGAGAGCTTCGTGAACCGGCAGCTGGAGCTGCTGGAGCAGGAGCGGGAGGCGGAGCTGCAGGAGAAGAGGTAGCGGCCCGGGACCCCCCCCCCGGGACCACCCCTCGGCATCCCCGCGACCCCCCTCCCCCCCAGCGCGCCCACGCCCTCCGCCTGGGCCCCGAGAACACCCGGCCCAGCCCCCATTCATTTCTGCTCCCTGGGCCTTTGCCCTGGCCGTGCCCCCGCCGCTCCCTCCCCACCCCGGTACTGCACCCCCCCCTCCCGGATTATGGGCCTGACAGTGCATGACGTCAACAAGGGCTTGAGTCCTGGCCGATCCTTCGTGTCCCATTTGGGGTTTTCTTGGCAAAGACGCTGGGGGGGGGAGTTGTCATTTTCTTCTCCAGCTCATTTGACAGATGAGGAAACTGAGGCAAGCAGGGTGAAGTGACCTGCTCGGGGTCACATAGCTAGTGTCTGAGGCTGGATTTGAGCTCACCCCCTGACTCCAGGCTCGGCACTCTGTGTTGCGGTGCCCCCGGCTGCCTTTAGTAGCAGGGGTACATGGTAGGCGCCTAATAAGTGCTCCCCCTTCTCCCGTGGCCTCTGTTACTGGGCCGAGCACACAGCAGGTGCCTACTAAGTGCTGGTTCCTTGTCAGGCGGTCCCGCCCTCCTGGGCTTGTGCTTTATTCTGGGGTAGGGGGACGGACTGGGAGCGAGGCCCGGAGTGGCCTGGCTCCTTGGGTCACCTCTCAATTCTAGGGGAGCCCCCATGGGCCCCCCAAAAGTCCTCTGACCAGATCAGTGCCCTTGTACTGTGCTTGCTGCTGTAGCAGCAGTGGGTGTAGACAGGCAGGCAGCAGCCGGGCTTCTGTCCACTTCCCAGCTGGAATGGGTTAATCATCAGGAGTTGGGAGCGCAGGGGAAGAAAGACTTCCTGGTGGTTGGTGTAGACCCCAGGATGAGTGCCTTCACGGGTGGCCCGGGGTTGGGGACACAGGCAGAGGCCCGAGGCGCCCCCTGCTGTGCAGAGCGGGGGGGGGGGGCCTGGGGGGAGCTCACTGCCCACAGACAGGAACGACTGGGGTCCTGGGGGACGGCAAGGCCGGGGGACCCAAGGCTCTCCTCGGTCAGACTACAGCGCCGGGGTCGGGAAGCCTGGTGGTCTGTGGGGGGGGGCCCTCCCTCCCCCACCATGCTTCCTGGGGCTTGGGGCCGCTCTAGGGGTCTTGTGCCCTTCTCAGCTTTTTTGCCCGGAGTGAAGTGTCCCCCTTTGTGCCCCCAGGGCCTGGCAGGAGAGCGTCTCCCCGAAGGAGCTGCAGCGCCGTGGGGTCTGCCTGCTGAAGCTGCAGGTAGTGAGCCAGCGGACGGGGCTGTATGGAAGGCTGCTCGTCGTCTTGGAGCCCAGAAAATGGGACCCTGGGGCCACCCTGCCCTGCAATAGCTTTGGGCCCGGTAGGTGGGAGCTGGTGAAGTGAGGTCAGGACCCCCGCCGGGCCCCGGGGTGGGAGGATGAGGTGCCTGCGTCACTCTCCCCCAAGGCAGGAAGCCTCTTTGAGGTTGGCGGGTCCAAAGTTGGCCCAGGACACCGTTCCCAAAGGGGCTGGTACTCAGTACCCAGGGGACAGCCGCAGGACAGCTGGGCCCCACTGAGGCCAAAGTCAGGCCCTCCTGAGGGGCTTCTCCAGCACTTACTGGGAGGTGAGAGGGGCCCTGGGGTCATCCAGCCCAGCCCCCCATGCCCTTCCAGGAGAGGGGCCTTGAGGGCCGGGCCTGGACGTGAGGCCACCTTCCTTTCCACCTGCCTGCCATGCCACCTGAAAGCGGGCTCACCCCATTTCTTCTCTCCAAATGATCCCCCTTTTCTACCTTGTTTGCTTTTGTCTCTGCCTCCTGCAGGGGATGTGCATTGACTTTGTAGGGTTTGTTAACGGGTCATTTTACTTTTATGTGGGTGGAGCTAAGATCAGAGACACCAAGAACTAAGAAGAAACTGAGGCGTGGTCAGGCTGGGGAGGGACTTGACATCTGGAACCCCTCACCCTGGAGAAGAGCAGAGGAGCATTTAACTGTTTGTGGGGCAGTCACCGGAAGGGGCACTGGCTGTGTTCTGGGGAGCAGGAGGCACATCATAGAGGCAGCTTCGCTGGGCCCTCCAGCCTAGTGCGGGGATTCCTACCATGGCCGGGCAGTGGGCCGGGTGACTGCCTCCCTCTCTCTCTCTCTCCCTGTCTCAGATTTTGTGCTTCTGTGGACCATGAAAAGCCTGAGGCATCTTGACTTGGGCCTCGTTGGCCTTTGCTGAGTAATTTATTTTAAAGGACCTTTTAAAAGACTGACTGTGGCTTCGCTTTTGCAGGTGACATTGTGGGGTTGTATGAGAGCGCTCCCGAGGCAGCCACTCTGCTCGCCACCGGCATCCTGACGCAGATCACGCAGCGGTCGGTGACTGTGGCCTTCGACGAATCCCAGGAGGGCTCGCTGGCCTTGGATGCAGGCGGCCTTTACCGGCTGCTCAGGCTGGCCAATGACATCACGTATAAGCGCCTCAAAAAGCAAGTGATCCCCGCGCAGTGGGTTGGAGTCGTGTTGGCAGGTGTCCTTTAGTAACTGGGCAAGGCGGGGCGGCGGTGCCTTGCTTGGCCCCTGAGGGGAGGTCACGGTCTCCTGTTCCAAGCACTGTGGTGCGGAGAGTTAGAGAGTTGGAGTCAGGGACCTGGGTTCAGATTCTGCCTCTGCTCCTTGACTCAGGCAGCAAACATTGAGTGCCCGCCATGCCTCTGCTTGGTGCTGGGGTTGCCCAGCCCCCGAGATCCTCTGTTGCGGGGAACAGAGGAGGTTGCCAGGGGCGTACCATGGCTCAGAAGCTCGTGCTCTGAGGGGGCCTAGCCACTGGGAGGGGGGCAAGTACAGAGAGCCTCCTGTCGAAAGCAGCACGGGAGATGAACTTTGAAGGAGATCAGGGGTTCTTTGAGGCGAGGGCATTCTAGGTGTAGGATACAGTTTGTGCGAAGGCCTGGAGATGGGAATGTTCCGTGTGAGGCCACTTTGGCCCTTTGCACTAAGGCTGGGCCCGGCCCATGAAGGGCTTTGAGTGTCAGAGTTGGAAGAGTCTGTATTGGACTGGGCTGGGGGGAGCCGCTGCAGTGCCTTGAGGGGTGCCCTGGTTAGATCTGCTGGGTGGGGCGTGGATGGGAGACGGGAGACAAAGAGGAGGCCTGGAGTGGTCCAGGTGATCGGAGCATCTGTAGGGGAGAGTGGAGGGAGGCAGGGGGTCAAGGAGGACTCCAAGGCTGTGAACTTGGGGGCCTGGAAGGAGAGAAGAAATTAGAGAGAAGGACGGAGTTCGGACGGTTGAGTGTGAGGTGTCTCTGGGGTACCCTGATTGGAGTGTCTGACAGGCAGCTGCGCCCCGAGCGTTTATTAGGTGTCTGCTATGTGCTAGGGTTTGCCGCTGCAAAGACAGAATGAAACTGTCCTGGATCTCAAGGAAGCCCCCATCGTGTTGGGACCAGGCAGGGGCCTCGTCCGACGAGACTGGCCGTGGCTCCTCCCTGGGGGTGTCGGGTGGCTTGATTGGTGGCCGTGACACAGTGGCAGAGCGTGATGGGGGCTGAGGGAGTGGCCCAGCCCCGTGCTCTGGAGGGAGGCTCAGGGGAAGCTTTGGGTTAGGTAAGAAATCAGTGACTCGGTCCACCAGCATTTATGGGGTGCTGTGTGCTAAGAGCTCTGCTTGGTGCTGACAAAGGGCACAGCCGGCTCTGCCCTCAGGTAGCTTACCTTTTAGGGGGGAGGCTTGGGGATAACAGTGGGGAGCTCGATGGCGGGGCTGTCTGCACATCATCTCGGAGGCACCAGGGAGCCGTGGAAAGTGCTCAGACCGGTGCCTCATGGGGGACTTTGGCGGCTGTGATGGGGCAGTCGGGGGCTGCTCCTCTCCTCCGTCCTGCTCCCACAGCATCTTTTTCCAGAAGCAGCCAGGCTTAGTGTAAAAAAGAAAAAGTGATGAGTCAGCTCTGGTCAGTTTTGGTTTGCTTCAGTGTCCGTTCTGGTCTCCAGCGAGGGGGTGCAGGGCAGGCCAGGAGCACAGGCCAGCCCCAGCCTGGGCCCCAGGCGTCTGCTCCACGCTGAAGTCCTAATCTCGGTCTCCTCTGTTGGCAGAGCTCTGAATGCCCTAAACCAGTATCACTCGGGTCCGGCCGCGCCTCTCATAGATGTTCTCCTCTGCACTTCTGAGCCGAGCAGCCCAGCTCCGACACGTAAGGACAACTCGGCGCTTCTCCCAAGTCTGGGGAGCTCATGCCACAAAGATTCCCCTGTAGCCGGTCCAAAGGGCCTCATCTGCCTTGTGTGGGCCAGCACTGAGCAGAACAGGGGCCCGGGGAGCGCTTCTCGTGGCACGTTTGTCTGAGATGTTTTGGGATCATGGCGGACTTCTTGTCGCTTAGCCACCAGGGAAAGTGGAGGCCGGGGCGCGGACAGCTCACTGTCCTGTGTGAGCATCTGTCCGGCCAGGCCTGGGAGGCAGGGCTGCCCCCGCCTGGAGCTCAGCATCCCCCAAGGGCGCTGCTGCAGCAACATGTTTGGGCAGGGTGGACCCTCTCTGGGGGCTGAGAGTTCCTAATGTCACCGTTAAAAAGTCATTTTGGTGACTCCCAAACTCGTGATTCTGTCACATAATAGGTGTGTGTCACTTCTCCCCAGTGTGTACTGGGTCTGGGTCGCACAGCAGGGAAGAGTGGGGGACAAATTCAGTAGCCATCCGTGTAGCCTTCTGTTTACTGAGATTCTGGCATCGAGAGCAGGCTCTGTCTTCAGTACACCTGTTGATCATAGATGAGATGACAGTGTGTGTGTGTGTGTGTGTGTGTGTGTGTGTGTGCGTGTGCGCGCGCACGCGCGCGTGCTGTGCCTGCACGTGCAGCTGCCTGGTGTGCTGGGAAGAATCTGGAAGGTCGGGGGCTCCAGGGACCGTGTGACTGGCCAGAATTCACTTCTTTGTAATCTGAGGGAGCTGGAGGAGCTCGTCCAGGAGCCGCTTTTTTGCCCCCACGACCTCCACAAACCGCCACATTCCGCTGGCAGCTTCAAGTCAAGGAACAGGAAGCACAGAGTCTTGTGGGTTTTACCTAGACTTGTCACTTGGGAGTTTGGTCATCGTTCTTCCTTCCCAGCCCTGGGAAGTGCTAAAAGAGGGGAGACAACGGGACAGAGATAAAACAACAGCAGGCTTTATTCTGGGAGTAGGAGGTGCAAGGCCCCGTGTTGAGAAGAAAGACTGTCTGTGCCCTTAAGAAGCTCAGTGTAGTAAGGGAGATAAGACAGCCCGGCAGAAGGCAGGATAATGGATGATGCCTTGGGGGAGGCCCAGACCAGTGCTCTGAGGAAGAGGAGGGACGTCTGCCCAGAGGTGGGGAGGAGAGGGAGTGGCGCCACCCGGTGTGGGACGAGGAGGCTGATGGGGATCCATGCCCCACTGCTCTTTCACTAGAACCGCTGATGTTCTGCAACGGCTCCCTGGACACGTCACAGAAAGAGGCCGTTGGCTTTGCACTGGCCCAGAAAGAGCTAGCCATCATCCACGGCCCGCCCGGCACCGGCAAGACCACAACAGTGGTGGAGATTGTGCTGCAAGCTGTACGCCAGGGCCTGAAGGTAAGCCTGCAAATGGGGAACGGGAGTGAGTGTGGGTGTGAGTGGGAGTGTGCATGTGTGTAAGAGTGGGTGTGAGTGTGTATGTGAGTTGTATGTGTGTGAGTGGATGAGTGAGTGTGCAAGAGTGGGTGTGAGTGTGTAAATGGACATTTGGTGCTTTTCAGGTCTGTGACCGCCTTCGTTTGCCTGCCCTGACTTGTACCTTCTGACATTTGTTTTCTGTCTCTGGCCCAGCGAGGTGCCTTGGAGGCAGAGTGTGGGACCTGAGTTCAGATCCTGCCTCAGAAACGTTGTGGAGTTTAGCTTCAGTTTGCTCATCCATATAACGGGGGTGATAATTAGTGCCTACCTCCCAAGGTGATCGTGAAGATGGAGCGCTCCACGTGGAGCATGTCCCAGACCTTAGAGCACTCTGTGCAAGTTAGCTGTTAGGCTTACTGAATGATTGCACATTCATTGTGCTGAGAACTGGGGATTAAGCCTTGCCTGCTCGCTCCCTCGCTCCGAGGGAGCGCCAGCTGTCTGCCCCGCTTGAAACCTGCCACTGCCCCCTCCCTCTCGTCGGGGTGCAGGGGGCTTGAAGGTTCCCCTCCGGTCCTGGGGAGTTGGTCTCCACAGCCTCTGCTAATCCCCAAGCTGCCACTGGCCTTGCAGTGTTTACACTCCCCTGTCCTGGGTGGGAAGAAGCAGGATCTCAGGGCTTCTGGGCAGGGTCGTTCCTGGGGCGCCAGCACCGCTCGGACCCATGCTGATGGAGGGAGTGAGAGAGGGGCGCTCCAGCCTGCAGTCCCTTCCGGCATCCTCGCTCCTGCCTGCTGGCCACTTGCCCCATCCAGGAGGAGTTTGGCCAATAAGGTTCTTAGCATAGTGCTTGGAAGCTAGGTTACCCAGCTTGAATTTCATGGGCAGGAATTGTCTTGAAATCTCCTGGCATTTGTTGGGTTTCCTTCACTGGGGATGTCTCTCCGGGTCATCGGCCGGGTGGCCCTGCCCGGAGGGGGCCCTGTGCCGGGCTTCCCCCCTGCCCCCCAGGCCAGCTGCCTCGCTGTCTGTGTCCCCAGAGGAAGAAGGGCTCGGGGTCTCTCAGCCAGCTCCTCCCTTGCTCCTGGGTCTTCTTGGATGATGACGCTATTAAACTTGATCAGATTGTAATGTGAGACCGAAAATGGTGCAGGCCTCTTGGATGTTGGGGGCTTTAGTGTTGATACAGTTTTAAATTTCCATTCGCGGATCACATGAACGATTTTATCACATTTTGTGACTAATGAATCTTTAGAGACACAGGGCCCCAAGCGGCATGATTTCGGAGCTGTCTGGCTGGTTTCCACTTCTTTTTAAGAGGTGATGTGTGTGCGCCGCTAAGTCACTGGCTCCTCGTCCTGCTCCCCCCATCCCAGCCTCCCTCCCGTGACAAGACCAGTGATGACGAGGCTCCTCAGGTCCCCTTCTGCCTCAGGTCCTGTGCTGTGCCCCTTCCAACATTGCTGTGGACAACCTGGTGGAGAGGCTGGCCGCACAGAAGCTAAGGGTCCTCCGCCTCGGGCACCCCGCACGCCTTCTGGATGCCATCCAGCACCACTGCCTTGATGCGGTCTTGGCCCGCAGCGACCATGCCCAGATTGTGGCAGATATCCGGAAGGACATTGACCAGGTCTGGGTGCAGGGGTGGGGTGCCCCAGCTGTCCACATGGGGGGGGGGTGGACACTGTAACAGATCACAACGAAGAAAAAAGAGGGACTTGGGCTTTCTCCTAAATGACCAGGAGCCATTCGGGGCATAATGTGCTAACGTTAGGGGGGCCCTGGGCCCGTCAGAGAGATTTCCTTTTGTGGCCTTGGGAGGAGGGTGGTGGTGGTGGTGACAGCTGGCCTTTTTCTGGTGCCCCGAGTCTCACCAAGCACTTTGATTGGCGGGCTCTTGTCCGATCCTCACAGCGGCCCCGGGAGGTGGGCAGGCTAAACCTCAGGGAGGGGAAGCTTCCTTTGCATGGCCGCAGAGACCTGAAGTGTTGGGGTCACAATTGGAACCCACGCCTTTTCTCACCGTGATGCCTTTCTCCTTGTTACCTCACACGGTCTCCACTGCTGGGATTGTGACCTTTAACAAACCATTGAAGTATGTTCATCCTTCTCGAGGCTGACGCCGGGCCAGGCTGAAATAGCGCTTCCTTGCAGGAAGGGGCTGCTGGTGGTGAGGGTCGCCCCAGTGAGAGCTAGGCTTCTGTTCCCATCAACAGGTGAAAAGCAAGAAGACCTTGGAGAAGAGAGACAATAGCTATGGTCGCAACGAGCTGAAGCTGCTAAGGAAAGAGCTGAGGGAGAGAGAAGAAGCCGCCATGCTTGGAAGCCTCTCTCGGGCTGATGTCATCCTGGCCACAAACACAGGTGAGACCCGAGGCAGGCTCCTGTGGGGTTGGGTGTCTGCCAAGAGCACCCATCTGGGAGCAGGAGGCGGGCAGCAAGCCCGGGGGGCCAGGGCGTCCTCCAGCACGGCAGAGCGCCCGTCTGGGAGCAGGAGGCAGGCAGCAAGCCCGGGGGGCCGGGGCGTCCTCCAGCGTGGCAGAGCACCCGTCTGGGAGCAGGAGGCGGGCAGCAAGCCCGGGGGGGCCGGGGCGTCCTCCAGCGTGGCAGAGCGCCCGTCTGGGAGCAGGAGGCGGGCAGCAAGCCCGGGGGGCCGGGGCGTCCTCCAGCGTGGCAGAGCGCCCGTCTGGGAGCAGGAGGCGGGCAGCAAGCCCCAGGGACCCTTCCAGAGGCCCAGACTCAGTGACCCTTCAAGGGCCTTGTCCTGCCATAGGGTCACCTGTTCTCTTGAGTTTGTCTCTAGCTCTGAGGCCGTGTCAGGTGTCTGGGGGTCCCAGAGCTTCCTCGGAGGCTGACGGGCCCTCTCTGAATCAGGCGCGTCCCCCGACGGCCCGTTGAAGCTGCTCCCCGACAGTTACTTTGATGTGGTGGTGATCGACGAGTGTGCCCAGGCGTTGGAAGCCAGCTGTTGGATCCCCCTGCTGAAGGCCAGGAAGTGCATCCTGGCCGGAGACCACCAGCAGCTACCCCCCACCATCGTCTCCCACCAGTAAGATTCGGCTGGTCGGCGTGGGTGGGCACCCTTTGTGTGCCAGCACCTCAGTGACCCCAAGCTAAAAGGCTTCAGAAGCAGAGAGGGGAAGCCTCTGGAGCTCATTCAGTGTCCAGGGGCTGCCTGGTGTGGGGGGGGCCTGGCTGGGCCACAGATGAGGGAGACGTGGTGTAGAGCTGACCACCAGACTGCTGGTCATGCCTAGGAAGCCCCGCGTGCCTGAGGGGTTGACTTAGAGGGTGGCTGGAGGGAGCAGGCTCCAGGGTCTTCCCTGATCTCCCCCTGGCCATGCCCTGTTCTCCCTCATACAGCCCAGAGCATTTGCTTGTATCTCTGTAAGGTGTCATCACATGTTCTTTGTGAACAGCCGCATCCCCTTAGGAGATCATAAGCTTTATGAGGACAGGGGCTCAGCCTCACTCAATTTTGTACCCCCCTTCCCCTGCCATAGCAGTGCGCTTTGTACTCAGCAGGCGCCTCAGAAATGTTTGCTGGGTTCATCTGAACTGGCAGGTGCTGGGGTGTCCCTGCACCTTCTTGAGGAGGTTGGGTCTGTGTCGCGGTTGCCCCTTCTCTGTAGAAGGCAGCTTCCTTGCCAGGCCTGGCTTCACGGGGGCTTCCTGTCTCTGACACAGAGCTGCCAAAGGGGGTCTGTCCCTCAGCTTGATGGAGCGCCTGATTGAGCGCCACGGGGAGAGGGTCGTGAGAATGCTGACGGTCCAGTACCGCATGCACCAGGCCATCATGCAGTGGGCCTCGGAGGAGCTGTACCGCGGGCAGCTCGCTGCCCACCCCTCGGTGGCCGGCCATCTTCTGAAGTAAGCGGGTGTGAGGGTGGGGCCTGTGGCTGGATGCTGTCCCCTGGCACGGGGGGATGCTTTACCCCAAGAGGAGGCCTGGAGCACGTTGTCCTCATAGCAGGCCAAGTTCAGTGGGCTTTATTCCACACTTAATCATTAGGGTGGTAATAATGGCCATTTCTGTGTAATTTTCCTCTTTTCTCAAAATAACCCCTTGAGAAAGGAAGTGTCATTGTCTGCCTGCACAGATGGGGAGACTGAGGCTGCCTTGGGTTTGTAGTGGAGACTGGGCCTATTCTTTCCAAGTCTGCACCCTCCTCCTTGGTGCTGTTGGCCGTGGCCTCCATTTTGGGTGGGTCAGAACGAGTGGGCCATCACAGGTGGTGGTGGAGGTTGCACGCAGCCCACGAGGCCTCTGAGTGCAGCCTGAGCCGGATGGAAATGGGAAATAGTTAAAAAGTAAATGAAGATGCAGCAAAGCCTAGATCATGGGGGCCCTTCATGGGTGGGTGGATCCGGGGCCCTGTGTCTGTCTGCGTTTGACGCCCTGGTCTTGGGTGTGGCTTTGTGGGGCTTAGCTTGTAACCAGCTCCCACCTGCCTTTACAGGGACCTGCCGGGGGTCGCTGCCACCGAAGAGACGAGCATCCCCCTGCTGCTCGTCGACACTGCTGGCTGCGGCCTGTTAGAGCTGGAGGATGAAGACGAGCAGTCCAAGGGGAACCCAGGTGTGTGTGTGGGGGGGGTGCCCTACCCGGGGCTGTGTGAAAAATTTCTTTTAAAGACAGTTCCTTGTGGATGGCTTTTATCCCCGTGTCCTGTGTCCTTTCCCGGTATGTGCGCACCCTCCATCTCCCAAAGCGCCATCCCTCACAACACAGAACCGCTCTTCAGCCGGGTGAGCAGGTCTGCCCGTGCACCCAACGTTCTGCCCCCATGTCCCCCACCTCTGCAGGGTGTGGAGGCGTCGTCTTTGGGGCTTGCCTGGCTGTCCTTCTTTCTGGGACTGTGTTCTCTTGCTGGTGCCTGGAGGTCATGATCCTTTCAGTTTTAGCCTTTAGCTTACATTTTCTTCCTCGTGGGATCTCTGCCGACTCCTGTCATTCACTCTTTGACTCATTCCCCTTTGAGTGTGTGGTCCCTGGGGGCTGGGCCTCCGAGCACTGACCTTGGCCTGGTTACAGGCTGGGCCCTGGAAGGTTCCTCGCTCTTAGTCTCTGCCTTGTGGGATCCGGGGGAACAGAACTGACCCCAGCTGGGTGCTCCATTCTTTCTTTCTTTTTTTCCAATTTTTAAACATTTTTATTTAAAGTTTTGGGTTCCAGATTCTGTCCCTCCCTCCCCCCCCTCCCCCAGACAGTAAGCAGACTAGGTTATACGTGTACAGTTAGTAAAACATTTCCACGTTAATCATTTTGTACAAGAAGACTCAAATAAAAGGGAAAAAAAGAAAGGGAAGACTGTCCTGCTGCAGTGTGTACTCAGGCAGTGTCAGCTCTTCCTCTGGAGGCAGACAGGAGGCTTCATCACTGGTCCTTTGGGTTGGTCTTGGGTCATCGCACTGCTGAGAGGAGCTGAGTCATTCCCGGTTTGGGTTCTCTCCAGTGCCCGGGGCCTCTGGGCCTTTCCACACGGAATGTCACAGAATGTGCCTCTGTCCCAGTTCCCGTCACTAGCTTGTGGCAGAGCTGGGGCCAGAACCTGGCTTCCCACTTGTCTTTTCTGAGCTAAGGGCCTTGACTAATCCCCACCCTCCCACCCCCTCAATGCTGTGGGAAGTGACCTCCGCCACGCTCTTGCCTCAGTGGGCCCCTACGCAGAAAAAGGAAACATTTGGTGAATATCTTGCGTGTAGCAGCACCAGGTCAATAATAACTGTGCTGTGTTTTTAAAAAGTTCCAAATTAAATGGCTCTAAACACTCTATGTGTAATTTAAACCCAGGAAATGCATGACTGGAGGAGGCAGGGGGGAGGGGGCGAGAGAGTGGGTTGGCCGTGTGCCGAGAGCGAGAGCTGACGGACAGACAGGCGGCCTGTGTCCTAGTACAGGGGAGAAAAAGGTGCCAGCAGGAAGGAAGTGGGGGGGCTGACCTGGTTGCCTTCCTTCAGTGGCCTCTGCCCCAGACCACCCGCCTCCAGAGGCCACGGCTGTGGTCCAGCCCCCCTTCTGGCAGGGCCAGTTTTCGTGGGCTCTCATGCACCATGTTTCAGGGTCGGAGGATCTTGCTCTCATGTCTGCCTGTGTTTGTCACCAGGTGAGGTCCGAATTGTTAGTTTGCACGTCCAGGCCTTGGTGGACGCTGGAGTCCAAGTAGGTGACGTTGCTGTCATCGCTCCCTACAACCTGCAGGTGAGGTGGATGCCGGGGCCTCCTTGGTGTACCCCTGTGAGCTGGTAAGGAGGTGGTGGAGGAGGCTTGCTAAGGGCCTGCCCCGGGTAGGTGGCGCAGCAGACAGGCGTGCTTGAGGGTGGGCGATGCTTGCCACAGCATGGGTGGATGGCCCCAGTGCCCACACCCATGGTGTCCTGGCTGTCTTGGCCGCCGTGATGGTTTCCATGGGCCCTGGGGCAGGGAACGCAGTGGCCTCTGCCTCTTGTGCTGGCGTGGCCTGATTCCGGGTCTCCATGGTTCAGGTGGACCTGCTCAGGCAGCAGCTTTCCTCTAAGTATCCACAACTGGAGATCAAATCTGTAGATGGCTTTCAAGGAAGAGAGAAGGAGGCGGTCATCTTGTCCTTTGTGCGATCCAACCGGAAGGGTACGAGGACCTGGTCCGGACTCTTGAGTCAGTGCGTGCAGTGGGCACGTCCTAAGTGGGGAAGGCCTGGGGGAGGAGGAGAGGCTTTTGGGTTGACCCAGGACAAGTTGGAGATGAGAGGGAAACAGTCAGAGCCTGCAGCGGCTTCTGCTTCCCTTCGTACCGGCTCCAGGCAGGACGTGAGGTTTGAGGAGGGGGCTGCGGTGGCCGAGAAACAAGGTATATTCCCAGCTCCCGCCTCAGGCACGTGTCCAGGAGGATGCACCTGGGTGATGCTCCCTGCAGACGGGAGAGGAGACCCTGTTGGGCCCTGCCCCCTCGCTGTGTGGGACCCCATTCCTAAGGCGTCAGGCGGACCAGGGCTGTCCTCCAGGCAGACAAGGAAGCGCAGTGGGGCGTGGCTCCCTTGGATGGGTGTGCTCATCCTTTCCCCAGCTCCTGCTTTGTAAGGACTGGCTCCAGAGGCTCCTGTGGGGAGTGGAGGCCAACGGGAGCCCAGGCCCCCTCCAAAGATGGTTGTCAAGGATGCAGATGTTTGAGTCCTCGTGGAGCACCTAGCCTGCCCTTTGCAGTTCTAGTCAAAGTGGCCTGGAACGACCGTCCATGACCCCTGGCTTTGGACCGCTGGCGTTCAGGCCGTCACCTCTCGTGGACACACCATGCTGGCGTGGGGGCGCTCTCACTTGGTACAGCTTTGTCGGGGTGACCATCTCACCTGTCTCTGGCCAGGAGAGCCACCTCCACTGCAGAGGGTGGTGATCCCACAGAGACTGAGGAAGGACCCGCTGTATGTGGAGCTCTTCCCTGTGGCTGCCTGGTCCTTTCTTCCCTCCCGGAGCTTCCTGTCCGCTAGAGTTGGGGCGGGTAGCGTTGCTCAGGCTGTGCCTGAGAGTTACAGACTGAGGGCTGGGGGAGGCCCAGGGGAGGAGGTCGGCCCCCAAGCCTGGGAAAGCAAGCACCCCCTGCCCCAGGAAGCCTGGAGGGGACAGTGCAGTGCAGAAGGGGGCGCCAGCGTGAGCCCCCGACCCCAGAAAGGGCACAGGGAGTGACTCCTTGGGGTCACTTCTTCCTGTCTGTGTCCTCAACTGCTCACCCTGCTCTGTGGTTGTTTTAGGTGAGGTCGGTTTTCTGGCGGAGGACCGAAGGATCAATGTGGCGGTCACTCGTGCCCGGCGCCACGTCGCCATCGTCTGTGATTCCCGGACCATCAGCGGTGACGCCTTCTTGAAGAAGCTGGTGGATTACTTCACTCTGAGAGGCGAAGTCCGCACAGCCTTCGAGTACCTCGATGACATTGTCCCTGACAACTACTCCCACGAAGGCCCTCGGGGCCCCGGCCAGGTGGGCAGGAAGCCCGGCCCCAGGCGGCGCCAGGAGAGCCAGACGGCGCGAGGGGCCCAGAAGTGTGGCAGAGGCGGAGCCCCCCAGCCCGCGCCAGAGGGCCCCAGGGTCAGTGGGGGGGGCCGGCCTGAGGGCACTGGGGACCTCTTCAGAGCCATGGTCGTGGACTTCCTGGAGAGCACCAGGACCCTGCTTGAGTTCCCTGCGTCCTTGAACGCTCACGATAGGATGCTGGTCCATCGCCTGGCAGAGGAGCACGGGCTAAAGCACGAGAGCGTTGGTGCAGGGAAGAAGAGATACATCTCTGTTTGCAAAAAGGGGGCCCCTGCCACGGCTGCCGCCGCCCCCGCCACGGCTGCCTCCACTGCCACCCCCGCCACAGCTGCTGTCACCACCACCTCTGCTGCGCTTGCCACCACCACAGCCACCATGGCGCCGCCTCCAACAGGGATAGAGAGTGAGGGGTGGGAGCTCCAGCCCGGGTGCCTGGGCCCGGGAACACCTGGCCTGGCCCAGCGTGATCAGGGCATCCACGGCAACCCTGGGGACAGTCCGAATCAGAAGTCTCTGCAGCGAGAAAGAGGACAGAGGGAGAAAGCTGGGCCTGGCCAGCTGGCCAGAGAACGCCAAGATGCTGCCGGCTCCGGGGCACCCAAAGTGTCAGGAAGGAAGAAGGGAAAGGAGAGGAGAGGTGAGGCCTTTGAGCTACCGGAGAGGATGGGGAGTTCAGCCCTTCTTCTGGGGACGGTTTCTGGGTTGACAGCCAGGATCGACCCTTGGAGGGTGCCTTGTGAGGGACGCGTGGTTTTGGTCCTTCTCACCCACTAAACAGTGTGTGGCTCCCCCCAGGGCAGACCTGGTTAGGGTCCCCCAGACATTGCTCCTGGAGCCTGAGACAAGTGAGGGGATCCTGGCTCTGGGGAGTCTTCTCACTGGGACAGGACATTGGAATTTCAGTGGAATTAATCTCATCGAGTTAATGCCGGTCTTCCCGCTAACTCCTTGGATTTCCTTCAAAAGCACAGACTGTGAAATGGTCAGGGCTTCGCCATGGTCCCTCAGAAGGGCCTCGGGGTCTGTCTGTAAGGACAGGCTTCTTCCCACAGACCCTGGCAGCAGGTGGAAGGAGGCTTCCTGATGGGGAAACTGAGGCCTGGAGGGACGGAGCTATGCAGGTCTACACCGCAGGCCTGACCAGAAGCTCCTCGCTCTGTCTGTGGCTGCGCCCACAGCTCAGGGACATTTGTCCAAGCAGCTGCTGCCCCGTCCTTGTTCTTGGAGTCGTGGGTCATAGGGTGAGAGCATTTAATGTAGGAGGGAGCCCCGGAGATCCTGGGGTCCAGTGCCCTTGTGCTACAGAGGAGGAGACCGGGGTTTGGGCAGCGCCACATCAGCACCGTTTCCTCAGACACACACACGCAGACACACGTGTAGACACATGTGCACACACAGAGGCAGGAGGAGGTCTGTTCCTGAGCACGCTTGTCCCCAGAGGCCACGTCTGTCACTTGTGCCCGCTCTGTGGAGACTCAGGGGCCTGTGCTCAGACACTCCCTGCCATCGCGGGGATTTCTAACCCCATGAGAAAGTTGGAACATGAGGCCATGCTAAGTCAGGGGCCTGAGCCTTGTCCAGACAAGCCCAAGCTTCCCGAGGGCAGGGCAGGGCAGGGCAGGAGGCACAGAGGGGGCCCGGGGCTGGGCGCATCCTGACCCTCCTGGCTGGAGTCCACTTGGAAGCTGTTGGACGTGAGCACGTGCCCCCTACCCCCCGAGCCTCAGTTTCTTCATCAGTGAAATGGGCATCGTGTTGACAGTGCATCACTTCCCAGGGTTGTTTTGTACATCTCTCAGGGAAGCCCAGGCCCAGCCCCAGGTGGCTGGTGAAAGGGGGCCTCACCTCGTAAAGGCCTTTGGTTGACACCTTTTGTCTCCACATCCCTGCATTCACTCCTGTAACTCTGGGGGTCTCCAGTCCTTTATGGCAAAGGATAAAAAGGAGGAGAAGACAGACTAATTCCCCGAAACCAACAGACCCTGAAAGGTTGTGCCCCGCCTGTGGGCTGGGGTGGGGGGATGTCCCGCTGAGGCAAGGACCCCTGAGAGATGCTCACTGAGTGGCTTCCTGTCTGGGCTGGGGCCTCTCCTCACGGAACCCCCAAGATTGCCCCCCAGCCCCACTCGGCACTGCTTGTAGTACTAGGCCACTGTCATCAGGGTCCTTCGATTGGGGGGCAAAGGAAAAGCAGCTTCGCTTCGGCGGATGGCCGGGCTGAGGATGGACAGTCCAAGCAGGGTCTCGGTGCCACACTGGACTGTGGTCCCCTGCCTGCCCTGGCACTTTGTGGTGGGCACAGTCACTGGAAGTGCACGCTCTATGGAGCTGGCCACTGAGGATTTAGCTAAGGGTTAGTCCTTTATGAGCCAGTGTGGATGGAAGGAGAGCCAAGACCTGCCTGTTTGCAGCCTGAGGGGCCCACTGAGGCTTTGGAACCTTAGCAGTTGGAGGCTTGGTCATTGTGAGGACTCACTCCATCAGTGCAGATTGCAGCCCCTCTGTGGCTTAGCCAGCAGATGTGGGACTGAGGCCAACGGGGAGGATGGCCATCTCTGAGCCTGCACAGCCGGGACCCTCCGCGCCCACAGGAGGCCTTGACTGAGCAGGCCTTTGACACAAAAACAGCTGGGAATCCTACGGCTGTAACCCTTACTTGTTACATCACATTTTCTCTGGACTTTTCACCCCCCCCCCAAACCCTTCTCTCCATGCCCCAGGCTCCTTGTAACAAAGGAACCACGTGGCGGGACGGTAGAGGGGCATGTCCTGTCCCTGTGCATCAATGTAGGCCATCCGCTCCCTGGTCACGAGAGGGGTAGACACGTTTCCTCGTGGCCTGCCTTCATTCCCCTGAACCAGGGCAGTCTTGGCTGGTTTCTGCTTCCTTTTCTCATCCAAGCATCTCTGATGTTTCCCACAGGCCACCAGGGAGAGAATCAAGCAGGTGAGGAAGACTTTGACGCCCTGGTCTCTGCTGCCATCAAGGCTGATAACAGCTGTGCGTTCCCCAGGTGCAGAGCCAGCGTGGTGACATTGGGCCAGCTCTGCCCGCACTGTGGTCGGCGCTTCTGCCTCAGCCATCACATCCCCGAGGTAGAGGCCTGGCCCCAGGATCTAGTGGGGTGGCGGGTGGATAGGCAGCGCCTCTATCCTGTGGTCAGCGTCACTTCCTGGTGGGAACGTCGGCTTTATTTGTTAGAGGTTTGGCCCCAGCTGGTGTTTGTGCAGAGCTGCTCCTGGGAGGGTGACCCCATCAGATGTAGGGGATCTTCCCATACCCTGGCCTTGGGGTCAAGCCATCGGCCTTGGACGGACCCCTGGGCAGAGGGAGGTGGTGACCCTTCTGCCCCCATGCTCAAGTGGCTTTCTTTGCATGGGTGTCTTAAAATTCCCATGTAGGAACTGAAAACTTCTTGGGAGAATATGTCCCTTTTCCATACTATGGTGAGGAATTAGGCAGCAAGGAGCCAGGTCAATGCAAGCTGTCCTTCAGGCTGTCTGGGGAGCTGCCGGCCTCCCTTCCTGCAGGCCCCCACAAGAGCTGGCTGGTCACCCTGGATGACCAGGGAGGGTCACAGAAGGGCGGCCTCTGTCGGTGTCTGTCCTCTCATCTCTAGGATGAGTTCTCTGAGGCGGTGAGGAAGCTGAGAAACCCACCTGCCCCACACTGGGAGACCCTAAGTGAAGAGGCTAACCAGGAACTGTGTTAGGAAACTTGAGGGGCAGAGCTCTGTGACGGCACCAGACTTGTGCACCCCAAAATGAAGATGCTTCAGGGGGAGCTGCTTCTGCTGCCGTCCTTGGGCATTCCCTTTCCAAGTCTAAAGTGGGGTGATGAGTGCTCTACATTATGTGGAAAAGGATGTGAGGGTCTGTCTGTCACCCGTCTGGCCCTGATGTCATTTCTTTAGCCACCTCAGCTCTTGGGAGCCTGGCCAAGCCCCCGAGAAGAGCAGAGGATGCCTCGGAGCAGGCCGAGGGCTGTGACCACGTCCTGGCGTGAAACACTGTGTCCTCTGCTCTGCTCGGAAATCCTCAGGCTTCTTTACTCTTGCTTGACTCGTGGTCTGAACTGTGATAACCTGGTCCCCTAGGGTGTGCAGAGAAGCCCCTTGAGGGGGGAGGAGCAGTTCAGGGCAGCTATGCCCACCTTGGCTTCACCCGCGGCAGAGAGAGGAAAGACAGGAAAATGGTAGCAGGCAGGCCCAGGACAGGAGAAGGTTCGGCTCCGGGGTCCCCTGGCATTGTTGGGTGCGCCCAGGGCAGGACCCCTTGTGCTTTGCTGGGGGTCCCAAGTGCCTTGAGGGCAGGGACTGACTTTGGTTTGTCCTTATCCCCAGAGCCTAGGACACTGCCATGCATGCAGCAGGCACTTAGTAAATGCAGCGGAACGGATGAAGGGGTGAAGAGGTGAGAGGTGTGCAGCTGAGTGTGTTCGAGGGGGTCGCTTTGGTCCTGACAGTGTTAGAAGGCAGTGAATATTTGGGTCATCCCTTGGGGACCCGAGCGTGGCTCAGGGGAACTATCTTGTCGCTCTGCCTTCCTGGCAGTGGCCCAGAGATCAGGTGGGGGGCTTCCACTCATCTGGGCTGAGAGGTAGTGAGGTCCCCACATCAAGCTCAAAGACAGCCTGGATTAGCCTGTCCAGGTGAGCTGGGGTAGGGGGCGGAGAGGGAAGTTTCGGGGGAGAAGGAGTCAGTTCCGTTTTGGCCATAATGAGTTTGAGGTTACGGTGGGACCTCTAAGAGGTCCTATAGGGCCGATAGGGAGTTATGCCCATGGAGGTAGCCAAATCCTGATGAGGTCCTCCAGAGACAGGGGTGTGGGGAGAGAGACAGACAGATGGAGAATGGGGGTGAGGGGAGAGGAAGGAGACTGAGAAGGGGTCAGAGAGGGAGAGGACCAGGAGAGAGTATCTGGTGTAGACAGACCGGGGAGCCTGCCCTGGCAGAGCCTGTGGTCAGTAGCATCTGAAGCTATGGAGCTGGAGGGGAGGAAGACAGAATCACAGCTGTTGGCTGAGCGGGGCAGGCAGGTGCTGTTGGCAACCATAGGGAGGGCAGGGGGGGACTAGCTGGAGGGTGATGGAGTCGCTCAGCAGTGTCAGGGAAACAAGGCTCTGGACAATAGCTCGTGGGGATGGGACCGGAGCCAGGCCGCTGTGCTGCTGGTGGGGGCTGGCCCTGGGAGGGGCTGAGGGTTAGGACCAGGGAGAGTTTGCCTTGGCTGAGCAGGCCCCTTCTTCCACAGAGGCAGGAGGATGGCGGGTGAGGATGTCTCTGGGCCTGGAGGAAGGAGCCCCCCACAAATGGCCTGTTTCCTGGTGTAGTAAGAAGTGAGCAGGATGGAGGAGGCATTGGGGGTGTGTTGAGGGCAAAAGAGAAGTTTGGGAAGTGCCATCAAGGGCAACAGGACAGTCAGTCAAGGGAGAAGGGGAATGTTAAGGCACGGTCATGAGGACTCAGTTGAGATGGGAGAAGAGGATGGCAGAGAGACGTCTTCCAGGCATGTTCGGCCATTCTGGGGCATGAGCAGGCACATGATGGTGATGGTGGGGAGGTGGTGAAGGGCGGGCAGCCCAGGTGTGAGCTCTTGGGAGGTAGAAGGGTGCGAGCCCGCAGTCCTGACAGGCCAGTCTTGTCTGCAGAGCACCCTGCCCCCACCTGCTGACTGCCAGGCTTCTTTGGGGACCCACAAGGTGTCAGCAGGGCTCGGCAGCTCGTACGTTCAGGGGCTTCTGGATATCTGGGGCCAGATGTCGGAGTCCTGCAACTTAGGCAAGTGCCATGTCTCCCCAGGTCCATGGGTGTGGCGAGAAAGCGCGATCGCATGCCCGACAGAGGATTAGCAGAGAGGGGGTCCTGTATGCCGGCAGCGGGACAAAGAACAAATCTGTGGACCCCATGAAGAGAGTCCATCTCCAGAAGAGGCTGGATCAGAAGCTCGTGGAGCTGAGCAGCCAGAGGAAAAGTAAAAAAAAGGACAAGGACAAATGAGGAGTGGGGTCCTTGGGGCGGCTCCCCACCCCCAGCGTCCTTCTTGGGCCCCTGCCAGAGCGGCAGGCCCCGGTGAGGCCCCTGGGCAGTGGGTGCTGGTGTTGACGTGGGGTGACGGGGTCCAGCTGGACCTGGGCCATGTGTGTGTGTTTGGGTATCCAACGTGATTTCTGAGCATTGTCCTCACCACTCGACGGGAGGAAGGGAGGGCAAAACGCCCTGAGTAAAAGGAGCTGAATAAAATCTCTGAAACACTTGATAGGTTTGGCTTGATATGGTCGAGAGGGGGGCCTGTGGAGGACCTGGGACGTGGGAAGGGACCTGTGAGCCACCGTCTGCATTCCATCCAGTGGGCATGCTGGTGGGCTGACCTCAGAGCCAGGAAGGCCTGTGGTCCGGCTCCAGCTTGGCCTGTCCTATCTGGGTAACCTCAGGGCCAAATCCCACTCCTCTCTGTCATGGTCCTGTCAGGAACAGCGTGGCATCTGGAGTCCTGGGACCTTCCGAGCTTGACCAGTGACCTTGCCCTGCCATGTAGTCTGCGTCTTTTACCCAGAATTTCTTTTGCATAATTTATTAAAATGGACATTTAGCGTAATTGAACATCACATATCTCTCCAATCTCTGGCAAACACATTGGCCGTTACTGGTGATGGTTTCTAGGGGTTGCTTGTTAGCTCCTGTACCTCGGACCATACTGGAAGTGCCAAGAGGTCTATGGAGGCCGTAGGGTGGAGGCTAGACCCCAGTAACAGGGATGTAGCCTGGATGAGGGTGCCTGTGGAGGCTGGACCCCAGTGACAAGGACGTAGCCCGGACGAGGGCGCTGCTTGGGGACGCTGTGGAGGGGTGGCAAAGAGGAGGCAGAACTGCATCACCCCGTCTGTCCCATGTCCATCTTTCTGAGTGTAGAACCGGCGTTGGCTTTCTTTGTCAGTGCCCCTGAATAATAGTTTTTGTTTTTTGTCTTATCTGAGTGTTTTATTCATATATATGTTTTACACCCTTAGAAAAAGAGCCCTATCTGATGTACATTCCTATTAAACATTTTCACATTAGTCATTTTGTAAGGAAGAATTAGAAGCAATAGGAGGAACCACCAGAAAGAGGAAACAAAACACAACAAGAAAAAAAATTAAAACAACTCTGAGATACCACATCACACCTATCAGATTGGCCAACATGACAAAACAGGAAAAGGATAAATGTTGGAGAAGATCTGGGGAAATTGGAACACGAATGCATTGTTGGTGGAGTTGTGACATGATCCAACCATTTTGGAGAACAATTGGGAACTATGCCCAAAGGGCTATAAAAATGTGCATGCCCTTTGACCCAGCAATAGCACTTCTAGGGCTGTATCCCAAAGAGATCATACAAATGGGAAAAGGATTCATAGGTACAAAAATATTTATAGCATCTCTCTTTGTAGTGGCCAAGAATTGGAAATTGAGAGGATGCCCATCCATTGGGGAATGGTGGAACACGTTGTGGTATATGAATGTAATGGAATACTATGGTGCCATAAGAAATGATGAGCAGGCAGACTTCAGAAAAACCTGGAAAGACTTGTATGGACTGATGCCGAGTGAAGGGAGCAGAACCAGGAGAATGTTGTACACAGTAACAGCTACATTGTGTGATGACTAATATTGATAAACTTAGTCCTTCTCAGCAATACAAGGATCTAAGCCATCTCCAAAGGCCTCTTGATGGAAAATGTTATCCACATCCAGAGAAAGAACTATGGAGTTTGAATGCAGATTGAAACATACTATTTGTTATTTTTTTTCTTCTGTTGTGTTTTGTTTCCTCTTTCTGGTGGTTCCTCCTATTGGTTCTAATTCTTCCTTACAACATGACTGATGTGAAAATATGTTTAATAGGATGTATATGTAGATCCTATATCAGATTGTGTTGCCGTCTTGGGGAGGGAAGATCGGAGGGAAGGGGAGAAAAATTTTAAACTCAAAAGCTTATGGAAGTAATCGTTGATAAATCAAAATAAATTAATGTAAAAAAAAAAAGCCCCAGGATTCTTCCTCCCGTGTGTTGTCACAAATCTTTCGCTTGAACATCAGATCTGGGGCTGAGCTTCACCACGGTTCTTCCTGCTCTCCTGGCCAACGGAACCCTGCTTCGTGGTCACAGTTAAGGACCAGGCGGTTACTTTAGAGCGCGGCCCAATGAGAAGCGGGTGCTCTCCTCACTTTTCCGTGCGGTTGGTGCTTTTGAGAGCGTCGGTCCGGGCATTAGTGTGCGCCACCGCCGCGGCGCTGCCGGATGGCGGGAAGAGCCCTAAACAGTGTTGAAAATAAACTCTTGTTGGCGTCCAGTTCTCCCACGCTCCCTGTGTATCCTCCCTCCCACGCAACCACCTCTATAACAAAGACTGAAAAGAGGAAAAACCCAGGCGGACAAAACTAACCAGGGTATAGTAGGAAATCGGTCCCCTGTGGGGCTTCACAGCCCTCGTCCCCCTCCCTGGGCTGCGGAGAAGCCGGCCACGCTTGGTCGCCATCGTCCCGTGGCGTTCACGTGTGTGTCCATGCTCTTTCTGTGTCGTCGTCTGTGGCTCTTCCCACATCACTTTTGGCTAAGCCCCCTGGACCATTCACCACTCGTAGGTATCTCCTCGGCTGCTAAAAACATTTTGAGTTGTATTTTTGTTGGGACCTCTCCGGGGCAGGGGCCCCCCTCCCCAGACTCCCTGCGCCCGCGGTGCGGACAGTCAGTCACTCGCTGCCCGGAATGGTTGGGTCAGACCCGGCTCCGCCAGCTGCGCCTCAGCGTGGTCCTTCCAACGTCGATTGCCGGCTCTGGTCTTTGTCAGAGATGACGTAAAACCTCAGTATCGTTGATGCGCACTTCCCGTGTTGTTCGCGATTCAGAGCATCCTTTTATGTGACTCTTAGAGTATGAAACTCCTTTGAGGACTCTGTTCATATCAGTGATGAAAGGAAAAAGGAAATCTGTTAGTTACCTTCAGATGTCTTGGCTAGCAGACTTTGATCAGAGCGGTTTCATGCCCATTTAACCCCTATAATGATCATAACACAACCTGAAAATCTCATTAGCGGTTTTGGCTGCCACATCAAACTGTTGGGGTTGGGGTCCACTGGAGCCTCCAGATCTTTTTCAAACGTATTACTGTCAAGCCTCTTCCGGCTTGTACTTGTGAAGATTCTTTTTTTTTAAAGACTTTATATCTCTCTCTGTTTAAATGCCTTCATATTTGATTTGCCCTGAAGTTCCAGCTTCTGAAGATCATTTTGAATCTTTATCGTTAGGGTGTTAACGCTCCTTTCCAGGTCTGAGTTAGTTTGCTAAGCCCAAGTGTGTACAGAGGAGGTGCTGATCAGCGTCTGTGAAGGGAGTCTCCTCACGTGGGATTTCCCCAGATGGGTGATGCAGTCCCGGTCCTTTTCCTCTCCGGCTTATTACCGGGTCATGTGATCTTCAGCCAAGCTGTTTTTGCTGAAGGCTTCAAGAGTCAGGGCTGAGGGTTAGAACGTGAAATTTTTCCGTTGCCTGCCCAAATTCCCCTGGTTGGGAAAGGGTTAGTTGCTGGTTCTTTGCAGTCTGACAGCCAGGGTTGGGCAGGACGTACCAAAGCCAGGGGAGGATGGCGGCAAAGCAGACTCGTCCTCGTCAGACCTCACACTTTCTTTAGCCGTTTGGGAAGGACCGGATGGGACGTCCACGTCAGCCGCTTGGACGTGGCCTGTCCTCTGGAGAGTGGGGGCCTGCGTGCAGCTGCCCCGGGACCCCCTCCTCATTTGGCCGTTTCCCAGCTCTTCTTGGCTCCAGCCCAGAGGGCCATAGGCTGACTCCCTTTCCTCCCTCCACTGGCCTGGGGGCAGCGGATGCCTCCCACACTGATGACCCTCCTGTCTACGGCTCAGCTCAAAATCTGCATTGCTGGAGGGGTCACCGCGAGTTTTCAGAATCATTCTCTAAAGTGTATCGGAATGGATCCCTAAACTCATCCGGCAAGGGGAGGGCCAGATTGCCCTCAGGAAGTTGTAATGCCCTTTTACTGGCCCCGAGCTTCCTGTAACTGCCCGGCCTGGCCGGCTTAAATACAGACGTTCTGCATCGGGATGTCGGTCAGCCTCCTCTGCCAGCAGAAAGGGGCGTCTGTGTGTTTGCATGTGTGCATGTGTATGTGTGTGTGTGTGCAGGTTGCAATGGATAACCGACAAGGGGCATATGCCAAGAGATGCCAGGAGGGTGCCCAGATGCCTGTCTGGTGCCCTTGTGATGTGGGAAAAGGTGTGAGAGGCTTCAGGCATGGGGGTGGCCTTCCCTGTCACCCCAGGATGGACAGGGTCGGAAGGGCTCTGATCTGCCTCCTGGAGGGAGCTCCTGAATGGATGAGATCACCGAGCAGGGAAGTATTTGAGCCTGTCCTCCGAATGTTGGCGCCCTGGGGCGCAGCTCCCCTCCCTGCCCTAGTTACAACCCTGCTTCCCCTTCTGTAGGTGAGTTGTCCCTGTGCCCACCTGGGTCTGCAAGTCACCTGAAGCCTCGGTGCTTTGGAGACACTGAGGTTCTAAGACCGGCAATCCTAGAGCATCATTGGGACAATGCAGGTGCTCCATCTGTGGCCATTCTTGCACCGGTGCAGATCACAGCCCGCTCATGCACAGCTGCCCAGGCTGTGTGGCCCTTGTTCCGTCCGGGCCTGTGCTCCTCTCAGCGGTTCCACCCAGTGCGCTGGAGGCTTTCTTCTGAGTGGTGCCCGAGGAGCCCCGTCCTTGCTGCCTGCCCCCTCCTCCCTTCCTGGCGACATCGCTGAGACTTGTTCTTTGCAGGCTCTCCGGAGGGTGATGTTTGAGGCTCCACTGGGCCTTCTCTGTGTTACTCAATTTTAATTCTTTGTGTATCGTAGTACCGCATGCGTTGCTGCCATCATTAGGGTGTTAGCATTAAGGGCCTTTGCTCTTATGGGAAACTTTACAGCTACTTGAAAGCAATTCAGCCCGCTCTTCTCCTGTCCAAATAAATGCCTGTTGAAATTCTTCATCCACTTGGTCTTCTCTGTGTGGATGGTCAGTCTCAACTCTTCTGAGTGCTTACCTCTCTCTCCCAGTAGACTGCAGTCTTCTGGGTCACAATTCCATCTTGAAGCAAGAGCATCTGGAAGACTCGTGGTCTGTGGGGAGTGTACCTGAGGACACCGCATCCTTCTTCCTTCCCTGCCCTCCCTTTCATTCTCCTTGTTGGGCCAGGTGCTGTGTCCAGACTGTGCTCCAA